TAGGGTTTAGGGTTTAGGGGACACGGGCCCTTCAGGGTTAGTCCATCGACTCGTGGTGTGTCACAATTGTAACCCCAACACATACCAAAACAACAAACTAATGCAAGCACTGGTAATATTGGCAGCAACCACAGTTGGTAAGATAGAACTCATGAACACGGAATATCTATCACGATAAAAATGAATGAGCCAATGATAACAAGACGAATGATTAATTTTCGTACTAATACTGCAGCAATAACAATTATAATCCGAATAATTTAGTAAACAACCATAGTAAGTGGTAGCCATGAATAAGACGCGATGATATTAGTCACCATACGAATAAGAATACTGTAATGGGTAATACTACATGACCCCAAACCGCATTGCAGACAAGCGGTTAAGCCTCACCTTGCGCACAACATCCCCAAAGCCCTGCTATCGATAAAGGGTTTAGGGTTTAGGGTACTATCACGTAAGTCATGCTTATATGAAAAAAGGCCGCATGGCTCCATATCTCTCGACTCCTATTTTGTATTCAAAAGTACAGTGATTGGGCTCAACGTATAAATTCGAAACGCTCAGCGCTACACCCCAAACCGCCTGGAAATGCACACACAAAATTCCTAAACCCCTGAAGCTCCAAACCTATCACCCTTTCATGCCCTTCACAAACCCTATCCCTAAACCCTAAACCCTCAACCCTAAACATAAGTAAACACCAGAAGCCCGAACTCGTTGTAAAGCAAGCATTGCACCAACGCGGTCTGGCTGGTTTAGGGTTTAGGGTTTAGGGTTTAGGGTTTAGGGTCTAGGGTCTAGGGTCTAGGGTTCAGGGTTTAGGGTTTAAAGTTTAGGGTTTAGGGTTTAGGGCCTATACAGTTCAGAGAGTAGGGTTGAGGGCGGGGGCACAGATTGATGGCCAGCGTGGACACGAAGCTCGTACCTGGCGCTTACGGCGACGGATTGAGAATTGCAGGTCATATTCAGGGATACTGTTGATGATCTAAATCTAAATCCTGCATTTCTACAGGTGAGAAGTTTAGCGTGTATAGGGCTTCTATAAGGTTTCCACAAAAGGTATATAGACCTTCTATAAGGCTCCTATAAGGGCAACTACCCACCTGAAAATGTCCTAGATTATTATGGGTGATGCAGGATTTATATCATATAAATCCTGCATGAACGACAGTTCAAGGGCAGTTAAGGTTTCGGGTTGGGTTGCGTTGGGGGCGTCGGGTTTCAGGTTTTACGGCTTTGGAGTTTTCGAGCGGCGGGGGATTTCCTAAACCCTAAACCCCAAAACCCTAAAGCCCTATAAAACCCTAAACCCCTAAGCCCGAAACCCCTAAACCCGAAACCCCCTACACCCTAAACCGGAGGATATTGGTCTTAAAGCTGCAGGCTTCAGTAGCACTGCTCCGGCATTGCTGCAATTCAAGTCTCGATTTTATTGTCCCAAAACCGGTTTTGGGTTTAGGGTTTAAGGTTTAGGGTTTCGGGTTTGTGGTTGGGCGACAGGATTTTGAGCAGGGCTCAATTTTCAGTATGTCGCATGTCGGGTTTCAGGCGCAGAATTGATGCGAAGATGTGGGTGAAGTGGGTTGCATTCTTGCTGGAAATACCACCGGCAATCAGAAGATTTCCTTGGCGGCCAAAGAAACGGTTTAGAGTCTAGGGTTTAGTTAGGGTCAAGGGTTTAGGGTTTGGGGTTTAGGGTTAAGGTTCAGGGGGGGTTCTAAGCAAGCGAACTATAGTTACAATTGTGTAGTTCTCTAAGTAGGGTCCCGTGTTAGGTCTTCAGAATAGTACGGCACCCTTATAAAGAGAACCCTAAAAGGAACTGTAATTTAGAGAACTACCCCATTTACGTATAAGCATGTTTAATGTACCTGTGTCCTTACGTACAGAGTCCCATGATCCTCCAAGCAGTCGGAGAGACCCGCTGGCTGGGAGAAAACATTGCGGTCCGACCCCTATATGATACCCCTTGAATACGAGACTGTAGGGGGATGGATCCCCATAGTAACTACTGGACATCAGGCTGTTTCAACATGCTTCAACATCCAACCATAAACCCCAAACCCTAAACCGTGCATGTCGCAGCACTTCAACCTGAATCCTCTCCCACTCTCGTGGTCCAAATGTCCAAACCGTAACGGGTGTTGTGTACCAAACACCATGAGCACTTAATAATTGGGTTTCAGGTACGAAAAACCTGGAAGGACCGGGGGCGTGGATGTTCCATGAACGGCCGGTGATTTTATGGCGGAAAAAGATTCTGCAAGGGTTTCAAGTAGGGTTTAGGGTTCTCTTGCTGTCCAGGTGCTGCGGGAAGCAACTTGGATCAACTTCTCGGCCATTGCGGGCGCCTGGCATCGAGATCACCGCCTCTATTTCTAGAAGGGTATGGGTTTAGGGTTTAGGGTTTAGGGTTTAGGCTTTAGGGTTTAGGGTTTAGGGTTTAGGGTTATGGGTTCTAGCAGAATGGCACATGGAGTCTCCGACGGGGTTTGGGTGACAAAGCAGTAGGAAACGTGATGCGCCGAAGATTAAGCACCCTAACCCTAAGGGCCCAAGTGCCCAAACAGTAGGGTTTCAGGGTCCAAAAACCACTCAGACTATGGATTTTGGGACCTAAAACCTTGTGCCTCAACTCCCAACCGGTCATACGTCAGCCTACCTGGAACGCAACATTCACGCCGTAGACCTTACAGCCTGAATGGTACATACAGAACAAAACTGAACTAAACAGAAATCAAAGCCCCAAACACCTAAACCGTTTATGCTCGAATACACAACCCAAACACTAAACCCCGTAATAGCAGGGGACCGAATACAGACTTCCAAGAAAAACCGTGCGCCCTCTTTGGCCTCTCCGGCTTTGCTAACGCCCCTTCGCAGGAAGCTCAGGGCAGCAGCACAAACTCCTGCACCTGGCAGTCTCCATTCCGACTTCCAAAGAAGACTCTTAGGAGTTTAGGGTTTAGGGTTTAGGGTTTAGTCTAGTTTTGTGGTTTGGGGTGTAGGGTTTGGTATAGAGTTTGGGGCACAAGGAAAAAATCAAATTTTTTCTCCAAACGAAGGATGTGGGTTTTTGGGCAGGATGAGCACGGCTACAACCAAGGGCAACGGATTTATGAGGGCTTCTGGGCTCACGACTTGGTGTCGTGGACTTGGGCGTTGTAGGGTTTGATCGGTGTCCGAGGCTCTTGCAACTAGGATGTCACTGCCTTAACCCTAAGGGTCCAGGTACCAAAATAGTATATACTTTGGCCCCAAAGTACCCAAATGGGGGACTACTTTAAGACCAAAGTATATCTATTTGGGTACATGGACCCTTAGGGTAACTTAGTGTGCAGTATAGGGATTGGCATTTACCTCGATATTCTGAGTTAGGGTTCCTGAATATAACTACTATAATCAACCCACATACAACGCATTAACCCTAAACGATCATCATTACTTGGAGAATCTTGGGACTTAGTAAGTATGGTTAGAAGTCCTTTAATTGGGGTTATAAGTATAGTTACCTTAGTAGTTATAACCCTATATACTAAGTCCCATGATCCTTTAAGTAATGGATACCCTAAACCCTAAACCCTAAACCCCGTAATGGATAGCAGATTGCATTTTTGATAGTTGCTAAAACGCCGAGCCCCCACATGACAGGGATTATAAGGCTTAGCCAGGCCCGGCACAGCAAAGATTCAGGTTTAGGGTTTAGGGTTTAGGGCTTTAGGGTTTAGGGTTTATTCTTTAGGGTTTAAGGTTTAGGGTTTAGGGGAAGGGGGTGTAATTCAATACTCCTCACTATGGCTTGACCATATAAGGGTCCAAGTGCCCAAATAGTAGGGTTTCAGGGTCCAAAAACCACTCAGAGTCTGGATTTTGGGACCTAAAACCTTACTATTTGGGTACTCGGACCTTCTGGGTGAAAAGTTTAGGTCGCATCTGACGCAAGGCCGCTCCGACATGGAAGAGAACCCGGATGGACGCAGGATCTGTCATTAGCTCATTTGGCTTTGGGTTTAGGGTTTAGGGTTTAGGGTTTATTTAGGGTTTAGGGTTTAGGGTTTACTGACCCTGAGCCTTAAACCCTATACCCTAAGCCCTAAACCCTATAAGCCCCGGTTTGGTCAAAGTTCAGTTCTGTCTGCGGCAGGTGGCAGAGCACTTGAAGATCGGAGGATGGTTTAGGCATTAGGGTTTAGTGTGTGTATACAGTGTGCACGCGGTGGGTGCGCTAAGGAATAGCTTGCGTCAGCAAGTAGTCCCGCCCCAACCGCCCCGAACCATCCCGCAGAGCCCAATACTCCCTGCTGAAGGAATATACCATATGTCATAAGGTAAAAGTTTAAGTTTAAGCTCTAAACCCTACACCCTAAACGGTCTCTGGTAAAACCCTAGTTCTCTAAATTAGGTGCTTTTTTAAGTCGCCCAAATGGTACGGTACACTTTTAGAAAGGACCCTATAAGGGCTTTAGAGGGACCCAAAGCACCCTTAAACCCGCAAAGAGCGATTACTAACCAATGTAGACCCGAAGCCCCAAACCTTGAACCCCTAAGCCTAAAACCCTAAACCCTAAACCCAAAACCCAAAACCCAAAGCCCTAAACCCTAAACCCTAAACCCCTAAGCCCCTAAAGCCGTAAAGTACTGAAACCTGCCGGAGGGAACCCAAGGAGGATGTCCACGGGCTGCTCCTGGCAGAGATCTGGTATTGTTCTCTAGATAGCTATCCTGTAAGATACACAGAACCTTGTTCTAACTTCTGCGGCGTCTACCTTGATCCCTAGACCCCTAAACCCTAAACCCGAAACCGTTTCGGGCCTCGACTTAGGGCCTACCCATAGGCCCCACAGTAGTTCCGGTTTGGGATTATTTAATAGGATCCTAAATATAAGCCACAAAAAAGCAGTACCATGGGGCCTATGGGTATACATTAAGGTCAGTTTTCGGGACCCAACCCACAACTCAAAACATCCAGTGGTAATGTATAGCCCTACCGTAATTCATAAACCCCTTTCCCTTTCCCGGGATTACAGTCGCGATTGTATTTCCCCCAATAGCCCCTAAATATTAAGGGCCAAGCTTTTCTGGTGCTGCGCTTAGGGCTTAGAGGTTAGGGTCCTCCACCGACGACGTTGATCCTCAGGGCTCTACAGTTCTGAAGTCGCTGAAGGGGCTTCGGATCAGCATGAGGACGAGGACGCCGAGTACACTATTTACTTTTTATAAGGGGGAACCCAAAAAGAAAAAAAGGGCAAAAGGGGACTACCGGGGAACCTAGTATCATTAAGGCCCCTGACAACAAGGCCGGCCTATGGGGAAAGCTACAGAGTCCCTCATCAAACGGCTCGTGAGGTGAAATGCAGGTAGGTGGGGGCAAAGCCCGACTTTGAGTTCTTCTGGAAGGTCATCCTTAATCCCCAAAAAAGGGGCCTTAATAACTAGAATAGGGTTTTGGGGCCCCTTAGACTATATCTATAATAAGGAACCTCCAAGATAGTATAGGTATGTATTTAGGGCCCTATGGTACCGGCCTTCATCCCACCGATAGGAATGCTTGACCCTGGATCCTGAAACCTACACCCTCAACCCCCTTAAAACCTGAAGCCATGCCAGAATCTGAACCCTAAAGCCTCAAAACCAGAATCTGAACCCTAAAGCCTCAAACCGTGCCAGAATCTGAACCCTAAAGCCTCAAATCGTGCCAGAATCTGAGCCCTAAATCCTCAAACCGTGCCAGGATCGCTGTCCCCTCGCCAGGCACATTGCATGCTGGAACTCGACAGCATCGACGGAGACGTCGTTGAGGCCCTCGGACGGCCGTGCACAATGTAGCATAGGGTTCATTGAGAAAAGATAGGGGATTCAGGACTTGAAGGTGTCGAGGCTTGGATTTGGGTCTGGCATGGGTTCAGGGTTTAGGGTTTTAGGGTTTAGGGTTTGGGACTTGAAGGTTTTGAGGCTTGGATTTGGGTCTGGCATGGGGCTTGATTAGGGCTTGGGATAAAGACTCAGAGTGACTTAGAGTTGTGCGGGCCTACAGGCCACAAAAAGTATATATTGTATGGTTACATGGACCCTTACTCTACTCCCCTTAGAGAAACGTAAGCAGAAACTGACAGTTTCGGAACTCCCGACGAAAGAAGACATATACCAAAAAACGCAAAGCAAGACACAAGGGCCTTAATGCCTAGGGCTTAGGCTTCGGGGTCCTTGTTGCTAAAGCTTAAGGCAGTAGCATTCCCAGGATGTTGGCCCTGGTGTGAATAGAGAAGGGTCTTCATGATTCCAGTAAGGGTTTTGGTGAACGTTAGGGTTTAGGGTTTAGGATTTAGGGTTTAGGGTTTAAGGTTTTGGTTTAATTAAGGCTTACGGTTACAGTCTATCGACTGTACTACTAGGAATCTATACCCCTACTAGGGCCTAAAACAATCCCCGAACATGGCTTTGACCATGAAACCTCCAAAACCGAAGTCCCAAATGATTCGAGATGATGATTCAGGGCTTAGAGGCTAGGGTGGCGGGGTTTGGGGGTTTCGGGGCGTAGGGGTTCAAGGGGTCCGGGGTTTAGGCTGTAGCGTTCTTTAACCTTACCTGGGGCTGCAGCTCAGTGTCCAAGGACTTATAACCCTAAACCCTACACCCCTGAACCCTAAACCGCCTGAGTGCATCCAAAAACCTGAAAGTCCACATCCGGGATCTACGTCTTGTCCCCAAACCCGAGACCAAACGCCAGGGGCTTTGGGGTACGTTCTCTAGAGTGAGTAGGCGTTGTAAGGGTATGACCATTTCTGTGGTGTTCAGTCCTGATATGAACCCTAAACCAAATCAAGGCCTCAACGCCAATGGAGCAGCTAATATGGAGGGGCCTTATAAATGCTTCGAATTATGGTTCTGGGGGTATGATATACAATTACTACGCTAACAAGAACCCTAGGGAATAACATTGGCAGCTATTCTGACCCCTACATTCAGCACCTCGAGAAAAAAACATAAGACGCCGGAGGTCTGAAACCCACAGAGAGCCCGTCTTTCAAAACATGCAAAACAAATAAACCCGAAACCCCTAAACCCTAAGCCCCTAAACCCCTAAGCCCAAAGCCCCTAAACCCCAAAGCCCTAAAGCCCTAAACCCCTAAACCCTCCTAACCTTTCACCCTCACCCTGCAGCCTTTCACTCTGATCTCCCGTACCCCCTAGCCCCTGAAACCCCACATTCCTAAGACCCTAAGAAGCCCCTTAGTCTAGGGGCCTGTGTAATTAGAATAGGGTTCCTTTTAAGGGATCCTTAGAGGGTTCTATAAGGGCTACTATGAGGGTTTAGGGTTTAGGGGCGCTTATAATTAGAATAGGGTTTGGCGGTAGATTAGACTAGAATTATACTGAGGAGCCCCCCAAATAGCACAGCCAATAATTACGGCCCGATATGACCTTGATTACCCTGTACCCCTCGCGCTGAAACCAAATGTAACATTCCTAAGCCTGAAACCCTAAACCCTAAACCCTAGATCCTGAAAAAAAGGAACGAGGACGCGGCGCGTCCAGCTTCAGCCTTTCGTGCCAAGACATGTTTAAGTTTAGGGTTTACGGTTTAGGGTTTAGGGTTTAGGGTTTTAAGGTTCCTTTCTTTAAGTTGGGTTTAGGGTTTAGAGATTTGAGGGTGTGGGGTTTCGGGTAGGGCTTTTTCCTAAACCGCACGAAGTTGCGGGTCCAAGGCCTGCCTCAGTGAGGCTTGTAGGGGCTACCCTACCGCAACAAGGTTTTAGAGGCTCACCCGATGCTCCCTGAGCGACCGAATCTTCGTTACATACATAATGAAGGGCTACTCCCATTCCCCTGAAGAATTAAGCGAATTTCTCATTAACCAAAACGAATCCAACACAATGAAGGGAACAAGAACCCTAAACCCTAGGGAGTATCCAAACGCCTCAGAGGTAGTCTGGGGACTATCTGATTAGGATTTAGGGTTTAGGGTTTAAGGGTTTAGGGTTTAAGGGTTTAGGGTTTAAGGGTTTAGGATTTGTTTAGGGTTTAGAGTTTAGGGGTTTAGGATTTGTTTAGGGTTTAGAGTCTAGGGGTTTAGGATTCAGGGTTTAGATTGTAGGGGGTTATCTAGAAAAGCTCAAGGCCCTTAGTTTCAAAACGCGCAGATCTCGGGATTCCACGAAACCTTAGCTCTCTAAACTGATACATCCTACACGGTCCGGCGAAACCCTGTAGACCTTAAAAACCGCATGACACCCGAAACCCTTTACCCCGACTAAAACCCGTAACCCTAAACCCTAAACCCTAAATCGATTCTGGTGGCCCCAGCCTGGCTAAGCCGCAGCAGCATGGCACAAAAGGCCACATCTGAGATCTCCTCAGTCACATGAATGACCATGAGTCTCGGGTTTAGGATTTATGGTCTTTGTATTTCAGGCATGAGGGCTTAAAAGCTTAGGATGGTTTAGGGCGTAAGGCTATAGGGATAGGGGGCTTAAGGCTTTCAGGTCCCTTGTCCCTGTAGAGACCTTCAGAGTTTGGGGAAAAGGTGTCCCTTAAGTAAGACTTCCTGTCTTGCATGGATGCCCGGTTTTAAGTCCCAAAATCCATACTCTGAGTGGTTTTTGGACCCTGAAAACCTACTATTTGGGCACTTGGACCCTTAGGGCAACGGTTGGTCGCTTCCGATCATATATAAAGGCATTTCTCCATCGCAGCGAGCTAGGGGTTAGCTAGCGTTCATGACATATAGGCTAAGGGTCTGCATCAGGGGCCATGCGGGCTTATCGAGTCGAACATCCCTTCCTAGCGTGGGTCGCAGGGATGTGGCCACTCGTGACCACATGACATGAACCTTGCTTGCAGTTGGTAGGATAAGACAATCCCAGAGGGTCCGAGTACCCAAAAAGTAAGGTTTCAGGTCCCAAAATCCATACTCTGAGTGGTTTTTGGACCCTGAAACCCTACTATTTGGGCACTTGGACCCTTAGGGAATACTTCTCGGTGAACTGTGATTTTACTCGGTGACAGTTGGCACTCCTCCGCCTCCATGGCAACCCTTACTATCTTTATACTTCGTCAGACTTGCGCGTTGGACGTCGTCCTGCACTGCGCGAAACCCAGTCTGTCGCTGGCATGCTCTCCTACCCTAAACCCTAAACCCTAAAGCTTCTTAGTTCGTCACCGTGCTTGGTTCTCTTGCGCGAAGCTGCGCTCTTACCGCCTCGATTCCGGGAGCCTCCTCGGCACGGTTCGAGCCTCGTCGGCATGGAACGCGGGCAGGTGCCACAGCGCACGCTGGTACACCACCTAGGGGCCTTGAGGATCACAAGAGGATGTGGGGTCTACTATACTATAAGCTTCCATCACCCTCTAATGTTTGCAGAGCAATGCCTATCTGCGAGTTTCTGATACGCTAGGTTTGATAATTCAGCTAACAGTCACGATAATATAGGGGCCTTAATAATTAGAACAGGCTATGGGGTAGATTATACTATAGTTATAATAAGTAGCCCTCAAAACCCCATCCTAACTACTAAAGCCTCTACATTAACGATAACTCCAACTAGTTCCTTCGGAGTCAGGCAAATGATGTCCCGCGGTATACCGAGTACGGCTCCAGGCAGCGGGCCTTGAAGTATGGGGCTTGAGGTTGAGGTTGAAGGCTTCGGGCTGCAAAAACCCCTGTGATGCAGCGTTTAGGGTTTAGGGTTTAGGGGCTTTTGCTCTTTTGCAGCTCTTCTCCAGAACTGCTTCTCTTTAGGTGCAGACCTGTCAATGAACCTTGATACATCGACTTCCGGCTCTTGAGGTCCTCGACCTCCTTGGTAGCCGTTGACAGCTTCTTGCCTCCTCTCTTGACTTAGGCCTTACGGTTTAGGATTTGGGTTCGGCGTTTAGGGTTGTTTTTTTTTTTGAGGGCCTTTTTCCCACCGTACCGTGTCCGCAGGAGAGCCCACTAGGGCAGGCAGTCTGTGCCTTCCATTACAGGGTTACTTACGAACCCCGCAAGTTTCAGGCAAACTCACAAC